ATTAACCTTATCAACTGATTTCACTTTGCCTTTGTTTTTTTAATCATAAAAATGAGAATAATAATAATGTTTACATCCTAGGTTTTAGGTTAAATGAGTTCAAAAATGTAAACTCCTTTATTATTGTCATTATCAGCATCAGGAAATCTCTTCCTCGTGGCAAAGATGGCCTCAACAACAGCTTATGTGATCCTTAGTGACAGGAACTCCAGGGGACAAAGCACCTCTTTCCAGAGAACTTCGGGAAGAGCTCCAGCAATAATTTGCCAAAACTGAATTACGTGTTCACCCCTGGATCAAAGAGTGGGGTCAGCCCTGCTGAGCAATTTGGACTAAAGGTAGAAGAGAGGGGTTCTGCAAAGGGAAATTGAATTGCTGTTACAAAAAAAGGAAAGAGATCTTAGGCACAAAAAACTAATGTTCACTACAGAGCCAACTATATCCTGATTAGTCAAATGGTAAATAATAATTGTTGCTGCTTTACACGGTGAAAAATGGTATTCATGAGAAGGACACGGCCTGCAAGCCACGTTTTAAGAAAAATTTCTTGTTTGGGAAGTTAGATTTGATAATTATAGAAGTCCTTTCCAGAGTCAACGAAATTGAGGTTTAGAGAGAGTTTTGAAACATAATAAAAAATAAAAATACAATAGAAATAAACCTTTGAGTATCTACCGTATCTACAGAGCAGGCAGATATTATTACTATGACGGCTTTACATTCAAGATAGCAAACAAACGGCAGCACTCAGGTTTTGCCGTCGTTAGAATTAGCCATGAACGCTTTATGGATGTGGATAGCTTTGAAGTATGATCTTCCCTTCGACATGGAAGGATGACCTAAAGACTGGATCAAAGAGCAAATGTGAAATTTACAAAGGCCAAATCATTTTAACCACACTGCCTATTTTCCCATTAAAGTCAGTAAAAAGTGATATTTTATCATATAAAATTAAAGTGAAAAGAAGTTACTTTTACACTTCCAGAGTAGACAAAAGAGATCCACCTTTCATGAAATCAATTATAATTTTTCAAATTTTCTGAAATGTGAGGAAAGATACATAATAATCTCCAAATATAATATCATCAAATATTGGCCAAAACCAATGCTTTTCATAAATCACCATAATTGTGAAGTGGAAAACAATAAAAAAGGGAGATTTCATAAAACGTGCCTGGAAAATAAACACTCTGCAAGAATTTTGCTTCTTAATAATAAGGTAGGAGTGTTTTCTGGAGCACTTAACCTGAGGGCTTTGTGTTCTTTTACATAATGACTCCATCCACCTTCTGTCCGTGGCTACTGGGGTTATAAACATGAAGAATGTAATTCCCTTCTTTCTTTTGTCCTGGGGGTTTTCACAGATTTGTTTGAAGATGTTATCATTGCCCCCACAGACTGCTTCTTCCACTTACCACATTGAGGTTGGTCCCCAGATCTTTCCTCCTAGTCTCTATCAAATCTAAGATTTGTGCTGTGGTCTTATTCAAGCCCTGGTAGTTTTTATGACTCTCTTTTCTGATACAGATGATTTCTAGATACAAAATAGAACTGTTAATGAAATCTGAGCAGACAAATTCAGTCCACAGAGTAGATTTACGTTTCTTTCCACATTTAGTGTCTCACCAACAAGGGGTTGATCAGCAACCAGCAGCCTCTCAGGGAAACTTGTATTTGTGTAATCCAATCCTAATAACCAAAATGCCTCCTTGCATATAACAGAGCACAATGTTCCCAGCTACTGCTGAGAGGCTTTCAAGTCCTCCAACTATATATTAATTTTTTATGACATTGATGCTACAAGAGCATTGTAAGTAGAGGGCAAATTTTTAGTTGTTTTCCTACCAGAAGTGGAAAATTTCTACCAATCTTTCTTATTCTCCCAAGAGATCCCTACAAAAAAGGATAAGAGATTGTGACTTGGCCCCCAATCCACAGAAGTTCAGCCTGTGGCAGAGGCGTGATGCTTACCCACCCAGACAATGGCCAACCAATGATTTTAGCCTTTTTGGGCCCATATCACTAACTAGAGAGTGTCATCACCAGAGATCTTCCTTTGACTGTAAGATGGCCATTTCTGCAAGCTACTCCCTGCTCTGTGGCCTTGGTGAAGGAACAGCGCAGGACTTACCTGAACACCAAATTTTTCTACCTTCTAAAGCACGCCTCTCCAATCTGGAAGATCAGGAGTCAATCGCAAAGTTCTTTCTAAACTGTTACCTAGCTTCAGGTTTTCTGCATTAAGGGAACATAAAAGTCTCTAATTTCCTGGTTCCCAAAGAAAGAAATCAAAAAAAAAAAAAAAAATGTCAGATACACCACAGGATCCTCTTCCTCAGAGACAAGGCTTTGTATTCAGAGTTAAGGGATGCAATAATGAAATACAGAAGAAACACACTCAACTTTATCATTAGTGGACAAATCAGCCTCTTCTTTCCTAGGAAGGAAAAAGATGTCCCATCTGCCTGTGGCTAAAAGTCACCTACCTCTCTCAGAATTAAGAGATTTGGGGGAAAAAAAACAGAAGTATTCCAAGTAAGAAAAGGAAAACCATTTCTGGAATTATAAAAGATCATGTCCAAGAAAATGTAGCTGATATGATGTGATGTGACGTGATATGATGTGTGATATATGGCATGATATGACACGGACAATAGCCAGAAGCTGGGTACAGGTGGCCTCACAGAAAAATAATGCAGATACATGAGCATCCCTGACAGCAATGACTCACTTCCCTTGGGGAGGGGTGGTTCCAGTCCAGACCAGTCCTAGAACAGGCTGTTCAGTTTACTGATCTTGAGGTTTAGGTCAGTGGGAGATTTGGGTCAGAACCCCTAGAACTACATAGCCCCTCCAGATTCATAACCATCACCAGTAAAAGCCAGATTCTCACATTAGTCCCAGAAAGGGCTTTCTCTGGAGTGGAGATTCATAACGAGGCTGGGCATCCTGGAATCATCAGAATCACAGCACATTTCATGTTCCTAAGACTGGAGTCAAAACAATATCCTTCATAGAGGATAATCCAGAATCAGAGTATCTGATCTCATTGCATTACTTCCCTATGCAGCTTCAACCACAAAAAATAAAAAAGAGGGGAGTGAAGACTTGGCTCTCTTATGAAGGTCATCATAAAACTGGAAGCAATCAGAAGAGTTAGAATTTTACACAAAAATGCCCTGTTGGCATTTGGGGAAATTTGTGTGAAGCCATGGCTCACAGGACAAGAAAGAGCCAAGGATTAAGATCTCTTGGAAAAAGCAAAAAATATCACCCAAAAAGACTTCACCACATTCTGGTAAGTTTGTGTAAACTTGGTGCTTGAGGTAAACCAAATAATTAATGGCTACAAAACCACCACTCAATCATTTTCATGGCCCAAGATCCAAAAGCACAGGCATCTGGTAAAGAATATTTTAGCAAATGGTCTTCATGCCACTTCTAAAATGCATACCTGTCAACCTTTGAAATTGAAGGACTTTCTTGACCATTCCACCTGGATAAGCAATCAGAACTCTGTGGACTCATGGACCTATAAAAACAATGATGAATTGTCTCTACTCTAGTTCAGATCAGTTTTTTAATATTTAAAAAGATTTAGTCTCACATAGACAATATGATCTACATAATCACCAAGCTGAGATGTTAGATTTTTAACTTTTTTGCCACTTTTCATAGGATGTCTCAAAATCTTTTCTCCATAAATATTCAATTTGGTGCAGGAGTAGTAAACAGTCATAAACTACATTTATTTTGAGAAATATAGCCAACATTCTCAATGGTCATAACCCATCATTGCATATAACCTATCTGGCAGATGTACCAATCCTTTGAGTTAGAGGTAAAAGATCTATAACTAGATACTTCAAGTCTCCCAGGTGTCTTAATTCACAGTTCACAGAAAAATCAGAATGGACTTAAATGTCTGTTTCTGATAGCATAATATTTAGGTTATACATAGCTATTTAGGTTCTACGTAGATAATACATAGATAATATTTAGGTTATACGTAGATTGTTTGTTACTGCAATATAACCTGACTGATACATCATAACCTGTTTGAAACACCGTCCCTTTATAGGAAAGAAAGGCTTGGACACGAAGCACTATGATAAATTTTACTATAATCCAAAACAGAAGAAACTTGAGACTATACCTATTATATGGCAGCATCTAAATGATATGTGGGTATATCTATTATTAATAGCCACTTAGTAAAACAGATTCTTCTCCCATCTCACCCCTCAACCAAAAAAAGGAAAAGAAAAAAAAAAACTTCTCAAACAACTGGATAATCTGAATTCTTCAAAATCAATGTTCAAAAAATGAAAGAAAAAAAAACCAGAGTTCCCTCATTTTGACCCATTTGTCAAAAATCACTTGCAGAGTTCCACTCTTTTCTAAGACCAAGCACATTAATCAAATACAGAGCTTCAAAGAGTCTTCATTTTGAGTGACCGAACAGACAAATAAATTAGCTGCCCATGGCTCCTTTGTAATTGAAGAGACCAGTCTGACCCAAGGGGACACTAAATCAAAAAGCAAAATGTCCAAGCAAAAATAGCATCGAAGACCTTAAACCAACCAAAAAGCCCTCCTATATCCGCTTACGTCCAAGGGTGTTACAAATGAGCCAAGCACACGTGTGTTTATCCACTAATAAGAATATGCAAATGTCCCACATCTGATTGATTTCTTATGTGCTACGATCATAAAAAATAGTTTGTGTCTGGAATACATATTCCAGACATGTGGCAGTTTATAAACCTGATCATATTATACCTACAACCTACAAAAATTTTTCCCTTTGAAATGAGATGACTCTAGAAGGTTTTCTTCTTTATTTCTGGGAAAGTCGCTTAAAGTTTCTCATTTAAGTCAGTAAAGAACTGCTCATTTTTAGTTTGCAGAGCTTTCAACTGGTGACTCAGTGAGGGGTGATGTCATATGTTATCCTAGGACTGCTGGTGTGGTTCTCTCTGCTCACTCTAACCATTCCCCCCGTTTCTGTGGCAGGCAGTCCAACCCCGGTTTCCATCCTGCAGTCAGTTTCTTCCCAGCCAGCCAGGAGCACACAGCCTCGCAAGCAGCGGATGAAACCGGAAGTCTGACAGCTAGAGTCTGCAGTGGGACCCCTAGTGTTTTCCCACTCCATGTCCTGGCATCGTTCCCCAGAAGTACAAACACACACACACAGAGCTCCCATTGTTGCAGCCTTCCTCAGCCCACTGATCCTAATATGGAATGCAGCAGGAAACCCATGATTTCCTGACACTCGGGAAGCTGGAGGAAGCAAGGGGAAAAAAACTCCATTAAAAAGCCCAGCTTTCCTCCATGTTAGATGTGACTTGGAAAATGAGGACGATTTAGCAAAATTTCACTGTGTCTTTTGCCAGGCTGGAGACAGGGAGAACAGAGCAAAACTCTCAGACTGCTGAAATTTCTAGGCTGTTAGGAAGCCCCCCGAATTCTGTGAAACAGGGTTTCTTAACTCACACTGACAGCGGAAAGGGGCAGATCCTTTTCACAACTCCCCCAAGTGTGAGTTACCTTTCTTTACCAGCATGGTAAGCAACAGGGCATATCCCAGCCTCGGACATGTCTGTATGAGTCAAGGTTCCCAAAGTCAGTCAGAGTAAACTCAAGCCTGGCACTGGCTTTCCGCCGCTTCATGTGCTTTGGGAGAAGCAGGAGCAGCAGCAGGAGTCCCCAGCAGCTGGAGCCGCAAGAATGAACTGCAAAGAGGGAAGTGACAGCAGCTGCGGCTGCAGGGGCAACGACGAGAAGAAGATGTTGAAGTGTGTGGTGGTGGGGGACGGTGCCGTGGGGAAAACCTGCTTGCTGATGAGCTACGCCAACGACGCCTTCCCGGAGGAATACGTGCCCACTGTGTTTGACCACTATGCAGGTAAGAAAAACTGGGAAACTCTGCATCCAGACCAACGATGCGGGGGGCGATACCTTAACTTCAGAGGGTCCTGGCTCATTTCTAATGTCAGTATTGGGTGCGGGCCTGGCAGTAACCAGGGAGCTTAGCGTAGCATACAACCAAGGACTTGGCTGAAATTGTTGGTAGAACAATTTGTGCATCCATTTGTATGGTAACACTTTTTCCCCCTTAAAGCAAATGGGTAACACCAGGAAAATATTCTGACGTGCCCTCTAGATTTGGGGGCCAGAGATTTTACTCCACATTTGCCTCAAGATTCATTAACTTTTTATTGTGAACATTTTTAAATGCAGTGTAATTCCATCACAACTCTTTTTTGCCAAAAAAAAAATCACCACTAGACCCACAAACAGTGAAAGGAATGTTCTTGCCACTCTTTGCATATTCACTCCATGTCATAATACATGAAATGTTAAGATTAAGAAAACACTCATTTTTTCTATAACAATTGGTGCTGTAAACTACAGTTTTATTTTCCTGGGGTTGTAGATTGGGGGAAAGTTTTTAAAAGGTTTTAAATATCTATTAGGCAATCTGTATCTTAAAAGAAAACTGTTTCATTAACATGTTTTTAAAATTAAAAACACAAAATCTGAATCATTTTAAAGTATGTCCTGAAAGGCTAAAATGCACATACAATATTTTAAAGCATGACAGTTAAGATACTGTAGTCACAACTTAATTCTTTCAGAGGACCTTTAATGTTTTGAATGTTCTAAAGTTTGTAGGTATACTTGTCTGGGTGATAGCATTGCCTAAATTTTTCCATTTTGATTCTTACTTTTTTCCTTAATTTCCAAACCAAATTATATTAAGTTTATCAAATGCAAGTTAATGAAATTCCTCAAGCTTATAGTATCCTGTATTTTATAACTTATTTATATCATAGTGATCTTTATCAGACATCTGAGACTTTGTGGAAGGAAAATTTCTCCTCCTTCACTTTGGCTTTGGGTCAGGTTCAGCAAAAGGAAAATGGCCCACAGGAAACCAGCATGAGTGTCTGTTGGCAATGTGGCTGTTTGAAATCCTCATTCTATAGAAAGTAGCTTCTTTTCCAGAACTAAGCCATCACCTAAATCGCTGCTTTCTCCTATACTTACATGATATATGAAAATATTACCCAGCAGACAGGGAGAGAACCACAGTGAATACAGTATCCAATTCCCAGCAGGTTTTTCTATATTTGTAAAAATTAAGAGAAAATTTTAATGCTGGCTCACTTAAGCCTTTCTGAAAATATAATGACTATGCCCAGAGAAGAACATTTTAATGAGAACAGAATAAAGAGAAGAACAGGTTGACTTTCATCTTGAGGAAAAAATTAATTATAAAATTTGAGGGTCCACGCCTTAAGAGAGTTACTCAGATTCTTGTCCTGAAAGCATCTTAGCAAAAGTTATTTATTCTACACCTTCTTTCTGCCAAGAAAGGGAAAGTGGCTACCTTATTTCAAAAACTTTTAAATCAAGGGTAGAATTCAAAATCTACTAAAGGAAGAAGCTTCCAATGCTTATTAAAATTATGTATCCAAATCCCCATATATGTAGGGAGCCAATTACCATGTTGTATCAGGAAGAAAAAGAATCGAGTCAGCCTATTAAAAAAAAAAACACTAGAAATCAAGCAAAGGCTGAACCATACCTAGATTCCACTAGGCTCAAATTATTTTATATTCTAATTATATACATACTATTGTTGAGCACTAAAGCATCTTAAAGATTTTGGCTAGTCTTTTACTTTAGCTCCCAAGAAATCACAACCACTACACCCAGAGCAATACTTTGCACATAGTAAGCATTCCTGAACATGGTTGCTTTGATGTACTCTTTGTACCTCTTTAAGTGTATAATCATCTCATGTGCTTTCAGTAAATTTTAAAAGGGAACGGAGACATGAGCCACATAGGTCTAGGACTGTAATGAAGTGATCATTTCCATAAGCAGAGGGATCTTCTCCATCACAAAGACTTGATTTCCTTTTCCACCACTCTCCTGATCTATGATCTGGTTGAACATAAATCCTTATGCAATCACGTGAGAACCTACAATCAATTGTAAAAGAACTAAATGCCCTCTTCTCCATTTGGATCCAGTATCCAGTTCCTGGGTCCTACTGGCCTACTCTAAAATGACAACCTGCAATTGAGTCCTGAATCTTTAGAAGTTATAGTTTAAGTCATAGAGAGCCTATCCATTGAAGAAGATGTTTTACTAATAACTACCCAACCTAGAAAAGTAGAGATAAAATAGTATAGATTGAAATACAACCTACTGTGCAAGATGGTGATCTCTGAAGGCAGACAGCCCAGTTCTAATACTGGCTCTGTCATTTACTCTGTGGCCTTGAGGAAGTTACTTAACCTCTCTGTGCCTCAGTTATCACAAATGAGAAACAGAGACAATGAAGATATTAGAATTGTATGGGAGAAAAAAATAATTAATATCCGCAAAGTTCTTAAAATAGTGCCTCATATGTGATAAGAGTTAGGTACATGGTAGCTATTAAGAATATAGTCTCGATACTTGCATACAGCCAGAAAAAGGAATGAAAATGTAATTAAAAGATAAAGATTACAAGAAGGAAAAATGTAATTACAAGAGTTTCCTTCAGCAGAGTAAGGTAGGATGGAGTGCATGTATTTTCTTCATAAAATAGTTACCATGTTCACTGATAATTAACAAATGTGTCTACATGGAGTAATAGTAGTGGGATATTAAATTGGGAGGAGAAACATCAGTTTTCCATGAGTGAAAACTATGCAAAATTATTTTGAATTATTTTTGCAGGAAAAATCAACAACCAGCTACAAAAAAAAAAAAACAATTTTTAAACTTCTATGAATCCTGATGTATCCCTACCTCCTACCTACCAAAATCCAAAAGTACATCTGCTCCATGTAGCTATCTTTGACTCCCCAAAAATAATTCCCTGTTCCATCTTCAATCTAGTTTCAGAAATTTGTTTACATCTCTAGGATCTCCCACCATTGTATAGCAATTTATATGCATCCTTATTTTCCTGTCTCTGGAGCTGTGTCTTTCATGTCCTGAGAAATCCAACAGTTAGTTCTAGGTCCCCATCTTGATCTCTTGGAAGTTTTTTTTATGGTTCATTACCTTCCTTCTTAAAACCTTTTCTTGGCTTGGTTTCTGGGATACCACATTCTCCTGGTTTTGTTTCCACTCACCAGCAAATCTTTCTCAATCTCCTATGCCACCTCCTCTCTCTCTTTCCAACCACCAAATGTTGGCAAACCTCAGTGTTCAGTCCCTGGATCCTCTTCTTTATTTGCACTTATGGTCTGGTTGATTGTATCTAGTTTTGTAACTTTCAACATCATTCATATCCTGATAACTCGAAAAATTGTAGCTCCACCAACAAAACCCCCTGAGACTCAGACTCATATATCCAACTATTTGAATATCTAATAGGCATGTCAATCTTAACCTGTCCAAATAGAATTTTTTAACTCCTCCAATCTACTCTTCCCCTAGGCTTTTCCATATACGTACATGACCATTATTTTTTACCCAGTTTCTGAAAACAAAATCTTTTTTATTGACTCCTTTCTTCCTTTGATAACACTCCCCTCTCTTTCCATTCAAACCATTGGTTATCATCACTTCCTCCTACCAATCAGCTCAACCTTCAAAATACATCCCAAACCTGATCACTTGTCACCATCTCCATTGCCTTCACTCTTGTTTAAGCCACCATCATCTCTCATCCAAACTACTATAATCAATCCCCAATTCCCTACCTCCAATCTTGCCCCCTATCGTCAGTTCTCCACATAGCGGGCAGAGGGACTGTCCAAAAGCCCAACTTCTCCAATCACTTCCCTAAACACTCAGACCCAACCCTATATCATGTTGTATAGGATGCACTCCAAGACTCTGTCCCTGTTATTACTCCAATCTCACCTCTTAACACTCTCCTCATCAGTGCTTTTTCTGTAGCCACACTCACCATCTTACTATTCCTCAAGCACACGAAACTCCTTCTTCCCTTAAAGAGTTTATACGTGCTCTTTCCCCAGCCTCATACTATTCCACTAGATCCTCCATATCTTCAATTGATCACATTATGTAATGCATGTGTGCATACACACACACACACACACACACACACATATACTCTTTCTTTAACCTATCTTGCCACATCTTTCTTTATAATATTTAATAGTACCTGACATTATATATGTATTTGTTATCTCTGGCTTCAAAAAACGGAGTCCCACATATAATAGACTCTCAACAGATAATCACTGAATAAATGAATTACTATGTCTTCACAATCTTAGTCCCAACACTTAGATAGTTTCTTGTCCATTAAAACTTTGATGAATAAATGAACAAATTGCTTAACCAATAGATATCTCTTTAGAAATGAACATACAAAAATGTTTATTACTTTTATTATACAGGTATTTCTGAACTATTTTGTTCATATTTTAAATAGTCATTTTATCCCCACTATAATTGTGATATAGCATTAAAATTTTTTTTTTTGAGATGGAGTCTTGCCCTGTCACTAGGTTGGCGTGCAGTGGCAAGATCTCAGCTCACTGCAACCTCCACCTGCCAGGTTCAAGCGATTCTCCTGCCTCAGTCTCCTGAGTAGCTGGGACTATAGGCACACACCACCATGTCCAGCTAACTTTTTTGTATTTTTAGTAGAGACAGGGTTTCATCATGTTGGCCAGGATAGTATCAATCTCTTAATCACATAATCTGCCTGCCTCGGCCTCCCAAAGTGCTGGGATTACAGGCATGCACCACCATGCCCGGCCAGCATTGAATTTTCTTGACCTAAGTGCCAGACTCACAACTACTGAATAGCCTAACTATGTAATACATAAATGTCACCTGGGATTCCTTCATTTACATTATATTCAAAAGTTGATATACATTTTGGGTGGCTCACTCAAACTCATCTAGATCTAATATACAGAG